GCGCACCCCCCGGGCCAGGACCCCCTGAGCAGCGGCAGGCGGCGCAGGCCAGGCCGGGAAGTTTCCCTGAAGGAAGACAGATGGAGAAAGAACTCGGTGGCCTGTTGCTCTGCAGGAAAAACGTGCCCAAGAGAGCCCTCAGGAGGCCGCTCCTGCGCCAGGTTCCCCAGGCCTGCCGGCCCTCTACCTCGCTAAGGCTGCCCTGCGGTGGGCAGCACTTCCCCACACTCCCCCGCACCCCGCACAGTGAGGACGGGCGGTCCAGGCCGGTAGGAGAGCTGGGACCCAGGTCGCCCAGATCCTCCTCACTCAGAGCTTCCCGCTGCCCTCACTGCGCCCAGGCTGGTGAGCAGGCGGAGGTCCCGCCTCCAGGCCTCGCTGCCCTCCGCCTCCCGTTTCCCCCGCAGCCCAATACCACCACCACCAGCTTCCAGATCCCCGAGTCTGCAGGCTCCTGCCTCCCAGTCCTACTCGGTCCGGAGGCCTGAGCCCTGTCCCACACACCTGCGCTCCCAGCCCTATGGCCGCAGCTCTTTCCCACTCACCTGCGGGGCCTTGCACCGGCTTCCATCCCCCGCACTGCAGATGATCCAGCATCACCTGTGGCCTGGGCACGTGGTAAAGGAAGATGCTAGCAGTGGTTCTCCACCTTGGCTGCACATTAGTCACCTGGGAATCTTTTTAAAATCCTGATTTCTGGGCCTCCTCCTCCTGAAATTCTGTTTCTTTGTGATGGAGTGGGGCCACAACATTAGTAACAAAGAAACAGAATTTCCGGAGGATGAAGCCCAGATATCAGGATTTTAAAAAGATTCCCAGATGATTGTAATGTGCAGCCAAGGTTGAGAACCACTGTGCTAGAGGAAGAGGCTAGAGCAGGGCCCAGGCGGGTTTTAGGGCAGGGAGATGCGCTGTAGGAGACAGTGATGATGGATACGGTGCAGTTGTCCAAACCCACAGAATGTCCAACACTGAGCCGTGATGTAAAATATGGCCTGTGAGTGTCAGCGACGTGTCGGCGCAGGTTCATGGATGGTAACAAGTGTCTCATTCTGGTGGGGGCTGTCCACAGTGGGGGGAGCTGAAGGGGGGGGCACGGGTATGCGAGAGCTCTCTACTTTCTGTTCAGTTTTACTGTGAGATTAAAACCATTCTGGAAAATGAAGTCTATTAAAATATATTCTGTAGGCTGGGGTGTTTGGTTTCTAACCTAAGTTTCTATCCATCAATGGATCATGAAGTCCACTTGCCGGCTCACTGACAATACTTTTCTTTAATGAGATAGTATAAGATTAGAATACATCATGCTAAGTAAGTAGTGTTCGGTGAAACCTCGTTTTACAAATTGTATTTCCTTTTCATTTAAAATAAACCTGCAACCTGTTACTGCAGAGTAAGGAATTGAGATTCAGGAAGGTTGAGCAGTGATATCATTTATTATGAATTTAGAACTGGTTATTATAAGTGCACCATGAGCCAGGCGCTCTCCGAATGCTTTGCATGTTCATTTCATCCCCACAGCATCTCTCTGAGGAAACAAGATGTCAGGTCACTGGCCAAGGTCACTCAGTCAGGAGGTGGCAAAGTCGGAGTCTGTGCCCAGCAGCCTGCGGTTATGGCCCACACGCTTCACCTCCAGGTCACACAGCTGGTTGTGGTGCCACTGGCACTTGAGCCGAGGCCCACCTGGCTCTAAGGCCAAGTCTCCTCTCCAATCTAGTGCCGCCTGTCCCCTCCCCACACCCCCCTGCTCATCCTCCAGCCCCTGCTCATTTACTCCGTCTCCATGTCCTTTGTGGGTCCCTAGTACCGACAGAGGCCAGTTCCTACTGTGTCTTAATCTAGGCTGAATGGGCTTAAACAACACCCATTTATTCCATCATTTCTCCAATGGCAAGCACACACACACTGACACTCACACTCACACACCAGGTTTGGTAGTGGGGTTCATACTCCACCAGGTTTGGTAGTGGGGTTCATACTCCAGTAGAGAATGTATTTTTTATAACTGATTATTACAGCCTGCAGTAAGCAGTGTAGCAGAGAGGTCTGTGTAAGAAGCAGTATTCCTGAATTTC